GCATCCAAAAACGTTTATATGTAGGCGGAATATGTTGCTTCTGTTGTCCACTAAAGATGGTTAAATGTGCCTCACTTATGTATATTGAATTTTGTTTTAAATCCCACTAGAAATGTTTGGTGAAACACTACAAATCAAACCTGTATCGATCACTTATAAAAGAGTTTCTTCCTCAGCTGTGCATGATAAACCTCCTCGGACACACAGTGAACAGTTGTGTACTTGTGTCTTCAGACTGTGGCTAGCAATGATGTTAGATTGGGCTACTTCAAGCACACTGAAAATGAAATTCAATGATGAATCGCAGTCTGACGTTTGTGAGGGCACCTTCACTCCCGTTCTGCTATGGCAACCAGGTGGGCTTCTACCTCTGCTTCCGTCAGCATCCTGCAGGAGGAAGAAAAGAGGTGAGACAACAATAACCAGAGGAAAGAGGAATAAAACAAAGAGCAAGGACTGAACAATGAGTGATGTACGGTGGATAATAAGACAAGAATTTAAAATGCACTATGTAAACCCCAAAACAACACAATCAAAACAAAAAATACGTGCAATAGTAAAATATGTCAGTGTTTTAAACACAGTAAAAGATAATATCAATCACCATTAGTGTCAATTCATCATAAAACTCCTGACTACTTGAAAGAATAACAGAAAACAGTCTGATCTTTCTCTAAATATGCAGTTGGTCTAAGTGAAGTTACCTGAACTTAGGTTTGTCCTTGGTGACCACTCCGATCTCCAGCTCATTGGCCTTGAAGTCAATGGACAGGACGGAGGACAGACATGTTATAGCCAACTGCAGAGAAAGAAAGTTGAGTGTGCTGATTAGCTCAAATGCATTAACACTTCTCTAAATGTTCTTTTCAGTCAAGAAAACAGGAAAATCTAGCAGTGGATTGCAGGAAGTACATGCCTTTACTTAAATAAAATTATTCAATTTCAGTCTTCGAAGCCTTTTGAAGAATTTTGTCAGTTGAATTGGATTTAGCTGTTCAATACAAAGACTTGAGTATTGATTTCTCTTTTTTTTCACTTCAGTGCCACACTAAACAGCTATATCAGCAGTTCCTGCTGGCAAATGTGGCTACGGGTCTCGTGCTTTAGTGTGCGTCCTGGTTATGGTTCATTTGTAAAATCCCAGTGCACCACGGAGACAAATCAATCAGTGGATGGCAGCAGAGGAGGTTGTAGCACTGTGTGGTTCAAAAGAGGTTTGCTCACTGACAGTCAGCACCACAGCAGAGCGCGTCGGAGTCACGCTGTCCTGCCTCGCACTGTCCTCCGTTAACCATCTTTGCTTTCATCACAGTTAGTTTGTGAAGTTTACAGTCTGCCATGCTGTCACTCTGTGTACAATGACGCAGCTAAAAAACAAAAGATATTCGACAAAAAGCTAACTTGCTAAAAGTTAACTTGACTGATGATTTGAATCCTCCACTTTTCAGGGGCAGCCCTATTATGGGTAAGGGTTCAGTTCAGTGTTCTGTTCAAGAACAATTTTCATCCCTGAACTATAAAAGAATCTGCGTCCTGCTCAGTAGTCCATCTTGTTTACACAGATCTTGTCAACCAGGTTCTACATTACCTGTACTGTCCTGTCGTGGGTCAGTTCAGGCTTTTTCTTCAGTTTCTTCTCCAGGTAGCTATTGGCCTCTGTTTGTTTGGCCCCGACTGCTGTGGCTCTGAAGCCACAGTAGTATCCTGCTGGGTCACATTTATACAGGACAGGACCCTGCTGGGGGTCCATAGCCACCATGATCATACCTGCGGGAGAGCAGAAGAGGAGGAAGAGAAAGAACACACCACATCATTATAGGGAGGATGTCCTTTAAATTATGTGAATTTACTGAATGTTATGCTGTTTTTAATTATCCGCTGCAGGTTCTTACTGCTGCTCAGTTCATTTTCATTTTTGCTTTCAGAAAATCAAGGAAATGCAGAAAAATACAAGCTTTGGGATATGGAGATGAATGTCAAGGGAACAATGTCCTGAGCAGTGAAGAGGCAGAAATCAAGATCCCTACTCACAGCAGCCTAGAGGCCTCATTTCGGCGTTTTGTGTGTACACCTGGGAGATATCGGCCAACCTACGACACAACACGTCCGCTGTGATGTCATAACCAAACTTATATTTCCACTCTCCTGCTTCCACTCGTGCCCGGTGAACCTGGGAGCGACTGTCCGCTGCACATGACAGAAGAAGGGGGACAGTGTAGCTTTTTAACAATATTAAAATAATAAATATGATCTTTTAGACATAACTGTAGTTACAGTAAACATAGAAATGTCACCAAGACTAGCAACAAATTATATAAACAGAGTGTTACACTACTGTCCGTGAGTATCATCCTTACAGAAAAAAACAGAAAAGGCCATAAAAAAACAAAAGCTATCTTAACAATTGATATCCAAATATCACAATTACTTGAACAATGATGTGTGTTTTGTGTCTGTGTGCGTGTGTGTGTGTGTGTGTGAGTGTGTGTGTGTGTTTATGTGAGCCAAATACATACCATTGTGCCCAGTCATCACGCAGCCAATGCGAGGGGTTAGTTTGAACATGTTGGTCACAGTGGAAGAGTCCAGCAGCTTGTCCTGCAGCCAGGAGAAGGACAGAGGTCACATCCAACTGACAAAATGATTATATTGTGAAATCTACTATATTAAAAAAGATAGTATTGGTTGTACAGATGTATCATGCTAATCAGATCCATGTATCTTAGCCAACATGGGATTTGAATTCCCCCATTATATAAGTTTCATCTTACATAGACATCACCCAAGATCACGTAAAATTAACAGAATTTAACGAGCAAAACTAACTCAAACATACTCCCTTGAGTCGCTCGCTCACCAAACTGTGGCATTATAGTACATTAGCGAGCTAATGTGACGTGTTTATCACTAAATCAGTGATTATTCCTTAGGATGAGGAGTCTCTATGTTCCTCCTCAGAGTCACTGTCCAGGCTGAGAGCCTCTTCACGGCTGCACGAGACGTCGCTGTGTGGAATTTCATGGATATTGTAGGGAAAGAGTTCACCTCTGACCCTGACTTCAAATATTCAATGAATTCAGTGTTGGAGTTGAATGAAGCTTTATCCTCCTCTTCGGAAGCAAAGAAGTCACACAGGATATTGCTGCACCAACGTGCACAACAAGGTCTGTTACAGCCGTATAGCATATTATCCCGCAGATATGTTTACATAGAGATATTGGGGAGTGATGAGCAAGTACCCTTAACCCCTAGCCAGAGCCTACAGGTGGATGCTGGGGTGGTGGTGGGGCTTACAGCGCAGCAGGCAGCAATATGGATGCAGGGCAACAGCGGCACTGACAGAGCAGAGGGAGAGCTGGGAAATTGTGCAGTTTAAATAGAGCGCCAGATTGGACTTGGTTAGTGATTATGGAGTGAGGCATGTCATGTGTGTATAGCAGCGCAGCTCGAGTTGACTGACTGAACTAGCTCTCAGGTTTCACTCCATTAATGCATTCAGCTTTTCTTTAGTCCTTTTATGACAATAAACTGAATACCTTTTGAGGATGTTACATTGGGCTTTGTGAAAGTGATCAACATTTTCCACCATTTAGGGACAATGGACCAAACAACTAATCGATTAATATAAAAAATGATCAACAGATTAATCGATAATGAATATAAGCAATAGTTGAAGCCCTTATAAAAAAATATAAAAAATGTTGCTGACCTACGGACATACTGCTCACTTATCCCTGATTATGATGATTAGACAGGTGTAGTAACTTTAATCTGCTTTCTGTATGTTTTCCTTAAAGTAGTATCTGGCTTGGTAATGTGAGTATTGGCATTCTTATGGCATTATCTTGTTCATACATTTGACAAGTCAGCAAAAAGCTGGAGTCATGACTCCTGTGAGGCTTCACTGTTTCGCTTCAACTCAGATCACCACCATGCAAGTGAGTGTGTGTGTGTGTTTACTTACAGGTATTTTCTTTTGTGTGACCACCACAACACTGTCTGACCCCCGGATCCCCACAGATGTCAACCCGCTCTGGGAGATGGCTTTGAAGGCATACTCTGCATGAAAGCACATATGACACACACAGAATGAAATAACACATTGTTAATGTGACAGAACTTGTCTGCTCCTTCACCAACAACACAACATACTGTCAATATAATTACATAGTTAACGTACAAGTAATGAACGTAACCTATAGCTACCACTGGAGAAGTCAACACACTTTAATGTGTGAAATAATATCAAAACTTAAACTTTAATTTGACTTATAATGGCGGAGTGTATTAAAAAAAATAACTTTTTTAAACAAAAAGGAAACTTGCGTACAATTTGTGATACTAACTGCACTCCACACCCGGCTAGCTAACCACTTCAGCTAGCCGGGTAGCTAATCATATTTTTGAATCATTTTAAGTTTGTTTGTATTAACAGAAGGTTTAGTAATAACAATTTGTAATGGCACTATACTCCTCTTGTGTAGTAGAACATGTAACGATGCTCCAGGACTGAAGAACCGGTTAAAATATGAGTCTTACCGACTTGGTAGAGGCGGCCCTCCGGGGAGAAGATGGTGATGTGTCTGTCGAAACCTGCGTTTGAACCGCGCGACATTTTTTCTCTCCTCGTGACCTCAGATGAACTTCACGACACTTTAATATATCTTTATATCGTCCCGAATAATCGGCTATTCTTTTCTTTTTGACGCTCAGTAAATATGAAGCAGCATGCCTGTTGTTGCAGCAGGATAATAATGGAGCTACTTCCCCGACAGGTTTTTACTTTCTCTTTCAGTTGTTGTTCAGTGAGGTCGCAGCTCCTCCATCGGCCACACTCATTATTATTGGATGGCAGCAATAAGGAAGTCGAGTGACTTTACCAGTTAGACTGGGCCCTTCTCCTTTCACCTGTGGTAAAGTTACCATGCCTGTGGAAGAAGCGCTTCTTAAATGACAGAAGGATCGTTAAAGACTTGTCAGCAGAAATATTAGGGGGAGGGATGAATGGAGAGGAGCGGGGCAGCGGCGGAGACATCCCTCTGTCCGGCTGTCTCTGCGGTCACTCAGCTGCTGCTGGCCCCCGCACACACAGCCAAATGTCAGGCCGCAGGGTTGGCTTCTGTCTCAGCCATAAGAAACGCAGGAGGATGAACCTGGACGCGTTTGCAGACTTCTGTGCGTAAGTTGATGCGGATTTTTGACTTTTTAATGTTTGTATATTTAATGAGTGAATGGGCAGGCTCTCATAGTGGGGCCAATTCATTAGATATTCAAATGCAAAATGTGGGGTTGAGTTTTATTTCATTTTATTTGAACAGCAGTACAGGCTACCTCAGTTAGGGAAAATTTAATGATGACTACTGTAAATAATCCGGACTATAACCTAACAGTTGTGCAATTCTTTATCCATATGAGGCTTTATTGCTGCTTGAGGAGCTTTATTTATTGGCAGCCCTGTCTGACATCAGGTGACTGTGTAATGATCACTTTCAGACTATAAACATTTCAGTATTTGTCCCGCAGGGGCCATGGAGTAGAAGTGGTGGAGGTAAGTGTTTTTCTTCACATATAGAAAAGAAATCAATATAATAAAGGTTTGAATAAATGCAAAGTGTGTGGTGAAAAATAAGGAAGAGGATTTGCCATTTCATCCCTGTGTGTGTGTGTGTGTGTGTGTGTGTGTGTGTGTGTGTGTGTGTGTGTGTATTTGAGGGTCTCTGTGACTGTGCACATGAAGATGAATCTGTACGCATGATTTTTTATAAATGCCATAAGACACACAAACAATCACACACAGCATGTTGTCATTTTAGTCCACAGGTTAAGCAGTTACAGTTAAAGCATGGCAGTAGTTTGGGAAGACCATGCACCCAGAGACACACACATGTGTCATGTACACATGTCCACAACTTTAGTAATCCATGTCACAGCCACCTGCAGCCCCCTCCTGTAATCTTCTTGTAGCAAAATCATGAACAATGGCTGCCTGATTGTAACTGCATGTGAATATCTGTACAGGAGCATGAGAGAGACCTTTTTACACAGCGACACCACAAATAGCAGCAAGACTAGTCAATAGTTACAATAAACTAATTAGATCATTGCAGAAAAAATAAGTAGCCTCAGTCAACTCCCACACTGCGTTTCACATTGTCTGACCTCGGGTTAATAGTTCACAGAAACCTGCTGCTATACAAGGAGCACTGATGAGTCTTACCAGTGTGGTTGGGCTAAAAAAAAAAACCCTGACCACAATTCAGTTAAATTAAAGAGTGCATGTGGACACAAACATCATTAATGTGTTACAAACTAATTTAACACGTTTTTTAAATTAAATTTCCTGGTAAATTAAACTGAAATAAAAGACAAAAACAGTTTTATATTTTTGTATCATCACTGCTGCTTTTCCTGGTATGACTAATCAAAATGTGTGTAATGAGAAAAACTGAACGTTTGTTTTACGCTAGAGTCAAAAGTCCTGGTTGGTTTACTATTTCAAAACATGTTGATGATTTCTGCATTGGTGACCCATTCAAAGTCTCTGTTGACCAATTGGTGAGGAAAGCAGTGCAGACAACACGTAGTCTTTAGTTTATCACAAGAGGTGCATCCCTTTACTTACACACCAAAGCAGCAATGTTGATTATAATATAGCACCTTTAATATTGTATGTCATTTACATATATTCCCAAACATTACCTGAAGTCAATCCAAATGAAACGTATTGTGGAAAATGTAGTGACTGATCAAATACATAGGTTGTTCCTCTCCTGTGTCAGATTGACCTCACCCAGCCACTGGTACCCCAGGGACCCTTCGACGTTATCGTTCACAAGCTGTCTGATGTCATCGTGGAGGCTGAGCATGACAGCCAATCGCAGCAGCTCCTTGCCAACTTCCAGGTAGGGCTGCGTTGTTAAAAACCTTTTAATCCGGTCAGAACAAGAAAGACTGACTGGGCAAAGTGGGAGAAAAATCCACTTGTATGCATGGAGGAATATGTATGCACTGTATTCTTGTTGATCAGTAATCATTCATTAATTCACACTGGAAGTGAGAAGATTTCTCCATCTCTCTTTTACATTGCAGAGTTATGTGTCAGCTCATCCCAGTACAGTTATTCTGGACCCTCTGCCCGCCATGACCCAGCTACTAGACCGCTTTGCTTCTTATCGGATCATGAGCAAGCTCCACAATTCACTCCGAGGTGAACTGCAGCTTCATAGTGTGTACTGTAGTTTACTGTCGCTTGTAGATACTAACGCAGCTTCCTGTTATATTCTGTCCATCAGACTGGCGTATCTGCAGTCCGCCTTACCTAGAGATCAACAGTGCCAGTGACCTGTCATCCATTCAACAGGCTGTGATGACCCAGGGCCTAAGCTTTCCTCTCAGTCAGTTCACTCTCTGTCTTTCTGAAGCCTTATCTTCAATTTCACTAGTTAAGTTAAATTACGTAACCACCTTTCAGCTTCTTTGCGCGTGTAAGTGAAGCCTAAAAGCTCATCTGCTGCAGACGTCAGTCTTGACTTTCCCTCGGGATAAATAAAGTATCTATCTATCTATCTATCTATCTATCTATCTATCTATCTATCTATCTATCTATCTATGTTTCTCAGGTTGTCATGATTCTCACACTTCTGAATTCGATTATCCTTCTTTCCTTTTTGCTTCCTCATAAAGTATGACAGAACCCACAAACACTTCCTCTTTTTCTCTGTTGACCCCAGTTTGTAAAACCAGAGTGGCACACGGCTCACTTTCCCATGAGGTGAGTGGTTTGCTTGAAAATCGTACCTGTGCAGTCGTATTTGTTTCGTTCAATCACTGTTGGGTATCACTCTGTTCATTTACGGTGCGGTGTGTGTGCAGATGTCTCTGATCTTCAGTGCAGGGAGTCTGGCTGATATCCATCCTCCCTGTCTGCTCCAGAGCTTCGTCAACCACGGAGCTGTTCTGCACAAGGTGTTTGTGGTTGGAGACAGGCACTTCTACGTAGAGAGACCCTCGCTCAAGAACTTCCCCTCCGGTCCCTGTGGTCAGCCTGCACAAGACCGACAAAAATATAAGATATTTCCCTGCCTTTCCTTAAATTCCCTGCCCTGTTAGTTTTTTCCTTTTCTTACCTTTCCTGCCTCTTCCTTTCCCATACTTTCCTTTTCTGTCTTGTCTCTTCTTTTACTTCCCTCCGCTGTATTGTAATTTCTTTTCCTGTCCTGTCATGCCTTTCTTGCTTTGTACTATGTTAGGCTACCTTGTTTTTCTTTGCTATGTCTGTTCCCTGTAACCGCTCCAATTAAGATTTTTCTCTGCTTCCAGACCGGAAAACCATCTTCTTCAACAGTCATCAGGTGTCAAAGCCAGAGTCAAGCTCTGATCTCACAGCTGTAAGTAGTACAAGTGGCATCACACATTAATGACAAGTCATGTGGTACTGTATGCGTCAAACTAATGATCTTTGGTATGAGAACATTTCTTCCTAGATTCTTTTAGATGAAGTACGCACCATATTGTATGTTTTATATTAACTTATCCTAACTTAAAGACTAATATGTCTGCAAAACTGCAGGAATAAACATAATTTAAGGTGCACATACATACTGTCAGTAGTTCAGTCTAAATTTACAGGTAGACCCTCACTCATTTGGCACCTGACTAGGCTGAAATCCACCCTAAAAATGTCCTTTCTTCTTCTGTTCTCCAAGTTGGATGAGCAGATGCCCTGCCTGCCTCCCCCCAGCTCCGAGGCCGTGGCCGCCCTGGTCAAAGAGCTCCGAGTTCAGCTTGGCATGGCCTTGTTCGGCGTGGACGTCATCATCAACATACACACACACACTCTCACCGTCATTGACATCAACATCTTCCCAGGTACTGTAACTGTACACACACACACGCACATACACGCACGTACAGTGATGTTCTGATACTCTCTCTCACTCAGGCTATGAGGGAGTGCCCCTGTTTTTCTCCTCTCTGCTCAGCCACATTGAGTATGTGTTGGACAAACAAACCTCTGCTGGTCCCCAGGCTACAGGCTCTCCTGAGTCAGCACAGACTACAAGTGGTCCATCTCCTGCAACAACTGGCCTTTGAGTCACCTCAGGAACAGATCGCAGGTTGTTCTGTGTTTCATCAGCTTCCTAGGACAAATAAAGTCATCGGCACCGGCTTTTTCCCTGTTTCGTTGGGGCCAAACTCAGCTGTTTCTAAGACTTTGCTTCAATTGTAAGAAGTTATTTATTCGTAATTTGTTAACATGACTTGATCCTAAACTGTATCTCCTGTAAATCACACTAATGATTTTGTACTGTTAAGTGATTCTGCTCTCTTTACAAGTCGACAAACCAAACGACAACACGTAACAGTTTAATACATTTTGCGTTTATTGATTGACAAGTAGCATAGAAGAAGATACAGCAGGCACAAAATACAGCACTCTGACTGGCCAGTAATATTACAAGTGGTGTTTTGTTATAATTTTTCTTTCCTGTTGTTCGAAATGTCCTCTATGCCCTTGTGTCACCCCCCTGCAGACATTTCCTACGTCTTTCTTGCTGGTTTGTAAGATACATTTTGTGGAAATATTTTTGCACTTCTATAGAAAAAAGAAAACTACAGTACATCAATTTTTCATTTATTCGCAAGGGAACAAACATCTCATCTTTGGAATAGACAATAATGAGCTCATCAGTGTTGACTGATCATATGTGTTATATTTATACTACGTGTTTACACAAGTCGACCGGCTACTTTGCCAGTGTTGAAATACATAAATGTATTGTAAATCTTGGCTGTGTAGAAAAAGAGAGATTATATCTGCTGTATGAGTACTATATGATGCATTTTGAATACATATTTAAATATATTAAATAATTCATTATTTGGCTAATTATTGCATTCATATGTGCTGTAGTCTATATTGTGTTATTGCAGTAAGTGGGCCTCCAATGGTAACCCTGTTTACCCTGCACTGTGTGCATTTCTACCTAGTGTCCTCTTGGGGGCGCTGTTGCTTCATATTTCCTATGACCTTGGCTTACAGACCATGATATCTGATATTTACACAAATGACACGACTGCCATGAAAACTGTGATGTAACACTACTGAGCATTTATCAATGTTATTGTTACCAAAAGACAGAATGGCTTTAGTGTCTCCCTGTTCCCTCGACTACTCCTTGGCTTGTTAAGAGTGCAAAGCTGGCTGAGAACCTGAAGTGACACTTTTAGACCTTGTAAGCTCTAAGTACATCGCGTACTGTCGCCACATACTAACCACACTCAAGACAAACTTAACATCTGACAGGTGTGTCAGCGTGCAGACTTTTCACATTTTGTTCGCGTCACCCTGGTTCGTCACAAACAGTCTGGTTTTAACAGTGCGTGAGCCAAATGAAACACAATCCTTGTTTCTACTTTATCATCAAAGAAACGGAGAGGAAATAATGACTTACTCCTGTGTAGAAATATCAGTAATGCATATTGTTAACAGTCAAAACAGCATAAACAGCTTACATCTATTATTGCACAAAATAGATATTGAAATACACATATTACTTATAGTAGGGAATCAGTTTTTCCCACAAAGAACACACCATCAAGGATGATACCTTCAGAGAAAAGAAGCACTGCTTGCCAGGATTCATGACTCAGATTTCAAATGATGGTGTTTGTGTGGTTGGCAATCTGCAGTCAGAAAAAATGTTTGAATAAAAGTGCTGAATGCTTTGCATCCATGGCCGTTTACAACTGAAGTGAAATCAACTGTCTACCTTACAAACAGCATTTACTGAGACAGGGACACGAGTGTAGATGGACACAAACATCTTTCAAATTCTCTAGAAAAACACATTCGAATGAGCGCAAAGGAAAACGTAGAAAGCCTTATCCAGGCAATCTAAAAGCAGAAATTAAACAATAGTATGTACAGTTTTTACTAATGTCCATCTACAGATTAACATCTGAAGACATTTCTCTGAGTGCTGCAGGGACTTGAAGGCTGTTAAATGGAAAATGTGTGAGCTGGATGTGTGACTGTGAATGCAACAAAGGGTTTTGTCAGTCTGCTGTCTGTGTGTGTGTGTGTGTGTGTGTGTGTCTTATCCTCTGCGAAGCTCCCTCAGCTCTGCAGCAACTTTACGCAACTCTGCTTCAATCTCCAGCAGCTCCTGTGGCCAGACAAAATGAGAATATATGACACAGGAATACAGAACATATGGCAATGGTTCGGATTACAGAGTGCAAAGGGAAAATATGTTGTACATAGGCTATAGCTAATAATGGGTGCCTGCTGGTAGTTGGAGGGAGGAACATAGAAGCACTGTATGTACATTTTTATCTACCTGGTTCACATTAAATATGTACTGACGAAAAAGTCAGTACACATATCAAATCTGATACCTAATGGTGGGTCATGGGCCAAAAGCAGACACCTATTGTATATTGTAAACCCTGTATTGTTAAGATGCAAAATGGAAGAAGTTCCTTTAATTGACTGACTTCCTGCACTTTCGCCTGTATTTACATATTTGTCCTGGTACACTATAATTACACTATGAGTATTTAATTAGTCCCACTTATATAATAAATAATTAAACTGTACTTTGCTGTAGTATAAAGTGTTAAAAAACACACACACACACACACACACAGTCATTATTTGCACCAACTTACCTCCCCTTCATCTTCATCGGCATCACCCTCCTCATCATCCTCCTCCTGCTGCCCCTCCTCATCCTCTCTGACGAATTCATCCTCATCTTCCTCGCCCTCCTCCTCTTCCTCATCCTTGTACCTCTCCCGGTCAAACTGCTGCGTGGCTTCATCACTCGCTTTCTCCATCACTCTCTTCTGCTGCGGCTCCTTCACCTCTGCCGCCTCCTCCTTCTTTTTGACCTCATTCTCTGCTTTCTTATCGGGCTCCTTTCCTTCTTCGCCCTCCTTCTCCTCCGCTGCGCTTTTGTCCATGCCGTCCTCTTTCTTCCCGCCCTGCGTCCCCTGCTTCTCATCCTCCTGCACTCGTTTCATCTTCCTGACGAGTTCTTCCAGCTCCTCCTGCTTCTCCTTCCTCTCCCTCTCCTGCTCTGGCTTGCTCTTGCTGTCCTGCTCTTTGAGCAGCTCCTTTAGCTCCTTCTCCACCTTCTCCTTCTCTACCATCAGCTCCACCTCATTCTTCCTCCTTTCCTCCATCCTCTGCTTCTCTAAGTCCTCCTCTGTATCTCGCTCCCTCTCTTTGTTCTCCTTCTCCTTCTTTTCCTCCACCTCTTCCTTCTGCTCTGCTCCTGAGCCCTTCTGGACCTCCCTCTCCTTCACCGCCTCGTAGCGTTTCTTCTTCAGCTCTTTCAGAAGTTCTTTGAGCTCTTCATCATTCCTCTCCTCCTTCCCTTTCTTGGTAATCTCTTCAGCCAGCAGCTCCTCTAGCTCCTTGGCTCTCTCCTCTTCATTGTCCCTCCCTGTGTCCTCTATCCGTGGCTCCTCCATTATCTTCTGCTTGGTGTCATCCTCCACTGTCTTGTCTTCTGTCTTTTTTGCAAAGTTGGTCACATCTCCCTCCTGCTTCGCCTCCTCATCCCCCGGCTCGAAGTCGCTCTCATCGTCAGCCAGGTTGTACTCATATTGCTGCTTCTCATCCTCTTGCTCCCTTTCTTTCTCTGCAACATTCAGATTAATTCACAGCAAAAAGAAATTAAACACCAAACCGGTCTTTCTATGTTTTATAACAGTGACACGTGCGTTAAAATACACCAAAGTGAGTTGTTTGTACCATCGATAGCCAGCTTCTGCAGCTCCCTGAGCAGACCCTGATGTCTTTGCACCTCATCAAGTTCCTCTGCAAAATAATGTAGACACAACACTTCAGAATAATAGCGCAACAAAAGCAAAGTGCAGAATACCAACATCTATAAATGTAACATGTAACTGTCAAATGTAACAACAAGAGGAATGTGGCAAAACAGGCAACACGGACCAGAATGAGGATAAATATCAGCAAATAAGGCAAACACAAAACCAATTTGTGATATATATTATCTAATGTTGAAAGTTAATTAATCAAATGTTGGGTCTATAAAATGTTCGCCAACTGTCCAAACCTTAAAATGTTAAAGCTACAATGATATAAATCAGAGAAAAGTCACACCATTTGATAATGTGAAGATCTGGTCAATGTCATTAATGTTTTTATCAAAGCAGTTGATGATTAATTTCCTGTTGGTCGACTAATACAATTATTCTTCCAGCATTTAACACCTCAGAATATTACTTGGGTTTGGATGAGCAGATAATTAGAAATGTCACCTGCTAGCTGAGGGCCACACTCATGTTGTGACCCGTCTTCATTCAGTGTCTCCTGAATAATACATTCAACCTAGAAGCACAATACAGAAAAAGTAAAAAACACACACAATTACTGGTAATGATGGGTACTGGTAATAAAAACATATATATATATATATTATGCTGATTGATAGGGGAAATAGAAAGGACTTGTTTCTGACCTTTGCATCATTAAGGGGTGAGGTTACTGGCCGGCTTCCCACTGAGGCACAGAGAGAGAGATGAGGGAGTGTGAGGGAGAATGGAAACACAAATCAATATATTTAGCATTTCTGCAGTGGCAAAAACTGCACCAAACTATGTCACCCAGCACCACAGATGAACTAGTTTGTTGTTAGGGCGTGGGTGGAGCTGTTCCCTCATTAAGGTAAGCACAGTTACCTTGGTAAAGCGACACAGCAAAGAAGCTTAACTCCATCTCCCTCTCTCTCCAGGATGCAGACACTCCCAGAGGCTTTAGCTAGCAGGTAGTTTCCCACCAGGGCTAAATCAGTCACCAATCCCCGCCTGCCAGCAGATCATTAAAGGCACACTAAGCAGGGCCATGAGTGCCTTTTTCTCACGGAGATACACTGAATCTAACAAGGACCTAAATGTCAGTATAGATCACAATCCATGTTCAGCCTGCAGCTTGTTGTTTTGTATTTGGGTGCAAGATATGATGCTGTTCAATTACTGCGCCTTCATTTAGTCCTGAATCCAAATGTCAGCCGTCAATAATGTCAGATAATTTGGCCAGGTTAGAAAGATGTTCCTGTTTTCTGTCAAATGTCCACTACCAAACCAAATTAAGTCAATCGAACTCAAATTAAACATTTATATTTACAAAAGATTTTAATATTCCAATGATGGTGGATTTACTAGAATCTTAATAATTAAAATAATCAACTATTCACATCGTTATCTAAACAGGCGTTGCTTTAATTGACTTGTTAAGAAACTCTTCCACAGCAGATATGATACAGACTCAGGTGCATTGGTTTCCTTCAACTTACATGACACATGTAGAAGCTGTATGTTTGATCTAAACTCTGTAGTCTGTGTCAGCACAAAGCCAGATCAGTACAGATCAGGATCAATTGGACTAATTGACACCATGTCCACTGATGAACCCCCCTCCCTGTAGACACGTGAGCTGCCTACAGTTTGGCCCTGTAATGCCTGCATGTCCATGTGATGGTGTTTGTGTGTGTGTGTGTTTCCACTCTCTGTCTAAGCTGTGACACCCGGGGCCCATAATTAATGCTGTGTTCTAGCTCTGGGTTTATTGGCTTGTCCAGCTGCCTTTGAGCCCATGGTCAACCAAACTCCATTTAAAAAAAAAAAAAATCCAAAGCATCCAAGTTGTTGCCTTGACTAAAACCTAGAGCCACATGTGAATCAGAAATACATACGTGCACCTATGGGGGCTGGGAGATGCGCAGTAATGAGTGTTAAAAGATATCATTCCTCTTGGCATTTAATTGACGTCGAGCAGCAGTAAAACTGTTACATTACCTACAGCTGCTGGTTCTGTGGTGATATGTACTCTTATGTTTTCAAGTACACATACCTGTCATTGTGATTGGATGGGGGACTGACGGATAAACAGAGCCACAAACAGTTGATATAGTCTGCTCTATGTAGGTTATCGCCTGTTACTGCATAACACTGCGCGTAACACCACTGCAGACTTAACATTTACCCTATTTTCACACCCGTGTCTGAGATGGTGGGGGCACACCTCCCTACAGTGGTGCTTTACACTTATTTTAACTCATTAACGCGTTTTCACAGCAGCTGGCGCACGTTCACCGAGCTGCACGCGCACATGTGCTCTGTTCCGCTCACCTGTGCGCAGCTTTAATTCGCATTTATACTGTTCAGGAGGACTGTTCCCAGTACAGTCAAATATGCTTGTGTTTACAATCTCCATCCCAGCCAGCACCAGCCCCGTCGGTCCAGCAGACACACACAGAAAGGTGGGCGCATAACAAATTATGTAACAACGCTTTTGTTTAGCCCATTAGTCTAAACCCCTGAGGCTTCCGCCGTTCGGTTAGCGTACACCTTCAGTCTGACCCATAAAGTATTGTTAAAATGCATTTAGTTCCGTCTGTTTGGAGCACACGGCTGGTTTCGTGCCGGTGAAAGGAATAACAGGGGCTACAGCTGAGGCAGCAGTGTGTGAACGATGAGGCTTGTCTCCGGTGCAGCCTGCTGAGAGCTATCACTCGCATTTTGTACCGTCATTTCCCACAGAGCGCCCCAATATGAACACACAGTGTGTCAGTGCGGTGAGTGTGATGGATGCTTACCTCCGACGGCAGCCCAGAGCAAAACTGCGGTTATCAAAATTCCCATAGGATCCGAACAAGTGAGGTTCCTGCAGGAGATAACCTTGAAATAACGGGCTGTATCTTCTTCACACACCCGCCGAGCGAGGTGGAGCCGAGCAGTGTGTGTGTGTGTGTGTGTGTGTGTGTGGTGTCAGGTGACTGAGACCAGATCAAACCCTGTTAAGGTGCCAGAGATGTCAGATGGCCGCCCTGTACTTACAGTGTGTTAACAAAATGTTTGAGGATTCGCACTATTTAATCAGTGTATCTGAGCAGATTTATTCAAGTGTGTCCCAAAGCTGGGTCCGTGGACCATTTTTAGGGCTTCAGGGGTGCAAAAGTAGCTACATAGAAAATGACCATCTCTGTAATTCCACTCTATTCAAATCCCACCATATCTCTCTCTCTCTCTATATATATATATGTGTGTGTGTGTGTATACCCAGTGAGTGAATACTATTCATCATTAAATCATTTTATTTGCAAGGTCAAGCATCATCATCTCCCCAAGCTGCTTGTTAATTACTTTGCACAACAATTATTGATCCTTTGTAACAGCTGGTAATGTAACACACAGTAACACGCCTGTGTGTCACCTCTGGGTGCAGTTACTATTGCTATGCTCCATCTACAGGACCCCCTCAAGGTCACAATGTCATTGACTGTGTTTCTGTGGTAATGTATATATAATGTATGACAGGATGGGGCACGAGAAAAACACAAGTGAGCAACACATGAGACAGAAACTTTTATTGGTTATTTCTTGTTATGGTCCTCCTCATGAGCTGGACAGTACTCATTCGGGCTTACGTTTAAAATTCAATGACATTTGACAAAATAAGACAAATATATTTACAATGACAGTAAACTGTAAGGTTGAGGTCTGATCCATCGCCTCAAAACATCGATGCACTCAGTACCAACTCACTGAATCACTGTATTTAATTTCATTTGAGGAACAGCTGAGATCAACAACTTGTGAATGGACCTAGAGCAAAGTGTATGAAACATCCATATTAAATATCTACTTCCTGTCTGACTTGAGGGTGTGTGTGTGTGAACTGGCTCCAACCTCACTCATCTGGTCTTGGGAGCAGGCCTTGGTGGTTGATGGGGCTGGTCGGCTCCGATGTATTTCAGCGGAGTGTACTTTGGCTTCTCGATCACTTCTAGACCCACATACGGCTGCAGGGCTTTGGGGACACGCACTGTTCCTTCCTGGGGAGATAGAGAGAAACGGTAATGCAATTTAGCATCATTAATAACACTGTGATGTAAATTCAAGCAGCTTTTTAAGTCTTGACATGGGTTGCAGTAAATTCCTAACATGAAAAGAGTCTTTTAAAATTCCTTGTTATTTGACAACTGGTTGGAATTAAGGCCCATTTATATGGAAGATTTAAAATGCCTAAAAAAACAAATCAAACAAAGAAATAAAGCAAAATACAACTGTCATAATTAAATTAAAAGCATTAGCTAAATGACAATTATTTAGCTATTTGTTTATAATAACAATGGATTTTTAATGCCACATTAAAATCAATTCACAAGACAGAAAATAAAGTGGGAAGTTATTGTGCAAGTTTCAGAATGACCAAGGTTTTTTTTTAGTCATTTCACCCAACCCTAACTCTTAATTGAGCCAAGCCGTGATATCTGTTGCACAATTTCTCCACCTCAGGAAAATTTAAACTTGTTGAGCAATATAAAGGAAAACTGCAGTTTTATATATTTATTATTATTTCAGCATTTCTAATAAATTTTTTTTTTAATTTCTGACTGACAACAATCACTAGGGGGAGCCACTTCAACACCACCCTTTCACACAGGTGCGTGCTAAGAGTTACACGTGTAGCATAATGGAAGGTGGGCAAGGTCACGCATAGTTGGAAGAGAAAACAAAAGAGGATGAAACTACACAGCTATTTTTCAAAAGAAGGTCCACATATTTTACACATTTGCATCAACACTTTGAAAGCAAGAATTTGGATCTGTTTCAGCCACTGATATACTATATGCTATAAAGTGATGATCCTCATCTTTTTCCAGTGATTGTCAGTTGGATATACAGTATCCATAACAACTACACACCAAAGGCATCAGACAAAAATTTAATCTAAGGCCTTGTGATGCTTATTATGGTTCATATGACATCATTTTGTTGTCATTAAAACCTTTTCAAGACAACTCATTGTGCCTTTCTGTGTGGAGTGTTGCATGTTCTCCCTGTGTTTGCATGGGTTTCCTCCACCAACACAACACATAAGTTCAATACGGTCAATTCTCCACTCAGTGCCCTTGACCAAGGCACTGGCTTGGATCTGGAGTTGCCTCTAGTACTTAGGATGGGTCAAATGTAGAGAATGAATTCCTCTATGGGGATTAATGAAGGATAACTTAAATAACTTAATGCAGTTTTTCAGGACAATTCAATGAACTAAAACCTGCATTTAAGAATTCCAGGTTTTCCCTCACTGTGTAAAGTGAGCCTTTATGTTTGTGTCTTACTTTTGTCTGGTGAGTCTCCAGGATAGCGATGATGGTTCGGGGGATGGCACATGCTGTAGCATTCACCTAGAGTTAAAATAAAAACACACATGTTGGAGGTGGTGTGCTGCAGTAAGCCCCAGTAACCAGCTGGAATATACAGCCGCCTCATCTGCAGTCTTACTGTGTGAGCGTACTGCAGGCTGCCGTCCTCTCTCTCATACACAATGTTGAGGCGTCTGCTTTGGTAGTCTGTACAGTTGGACCCACTGGAAATCTGATGAATACAGCATGTATAGAGAGGAGAGGACTGCAGTCAAAACCATCAGCAACAATACTTCCTTCATTCGATCATAGTATCATCTTTTATTTGTTAAACAGAAGTTACAACAGTTTCACAGCAGTACTGTTTTTTTCCCCAACTTCTTGTGCAGCACTGTAGCATTGTAGTGTTTGGACTTTTACAACCTTAATAATACATTATACTCAACCAAGGCTGTGGTCCTGCAATCTACAGAATCTGCTCACTATTATTTATATAGGAGATAATGAATTAAATACAGGACTTAAAAATTAACTTTCAACCAGGGAAGGCAATTGCAAGTTGGTTACACAGGAGCTGTACAGAGGAATGTAATATTTTTAGTTTTTTCTTAAAATGTTGGCAGAGTTCAACTTCAGGTGTTTATAGGAAGGATGAGAAGGGACTAAGATTTTTTGACTGACAAGGGAAGAGAGTCACTAGTGACCCTTCAGACTGAGGGTATGTTAGTGTGTCTGTCCATGCACACCCTGCAGCATATATTATCACAAATGAACATCTTTACACAAGTCATAATCAGCGGATATATTAGTTGACACCCAGTCATTTCTTGTGCATCTGTAATTAGTTAACAGTGATATAATGAGACTGACCTCTCCATAGCTGTTCCTCCCAGGCATCCATGCTTCAATGTCATACTTCCTGTGTGCTGGAGAACCAAGCTCCTGTGTCGGCATGTCCAGCACTCTGTGTGAAAACACAACCAAACAGTTTAGGTTATATATTAGAACCCACACAAATATGCTTATTATCAAATTGAGTGGATGTATAAAATAACTTCCACTGTGTGTGTGCGTGTTGCGTGTGTGTACTAACCTGTAATGTAGTTCCAGTGCAGAAAATATCTCTTTCTGCAAAGACACAAACTCCTTCAGCAGCTGGGAGCTCTCTACTCCCGTCTCATCTGCTGTCACTCCAAACATCTCTACCTGACACACACACACACACAAACAGACACACAAACACACACACACAAACAGACACACACAAACACACACACACACACACACACGATAATGACAGTTAATTACAAATAAAGCTCATTAGCATAATTATAGAGCAGGTACTTGTTTCTAATCTTACAAAATGATTTGCCATCACTTGTTATCAGCTAACAAATAATTTCCCAAATGTGAATGCCCTGTATGTACAGTGGGCACTTTTCAACTACTGTGTCCCTAACATCATGTAGTTGTCCTTTTAACCTTGCTGAAGTGATGTACTCTGTAGAGCCCCCATGCCTCTCTGCCCGTCTCTGTCTCTGCTCTGTAGCAGGTGCTGCTGCACACCGTCCTACAGCGGGAAGAGATATATCATGTCAGCTGTATTTGCTCTAATATAACACTGATCTGTAACAGTCTGTAGCACACTATGAGTGAGAGGTAACTAACCTGACAGGGAGGTCCTTCCAGTTTACTGCATGATCCATGAAATAGCCTGAAGGCGAGAGAGACATGTCACATAATTACTGGGTTTTCCAGTTGTCATTTATGATCCGTGTCAAAGCCTCTTATTACCTTCAAACATTGATTGTGTGAGTTGTTGGATTCAAGATTTCCGATAAAAACAAAAGGCATTTATTACAATTCTGAAGGAGTTGAGTATGAAATCTAATTACAGAACAACATGCAACACATCTGTTAAACCTGTGAGGTTTTTGGTGACACCTGCTTACAACAGCATGAATAACACATGGAAAAATTGATAAACTATGTATGTTCCTTTAATTAAAAAGAGCGTGACACAACTCAACTAGATGGGCACATGTTGCTTAGATCACCATCAGCAACATGTTGTTATAGATTATAGCCAAGTACAATAGCTAGTCTTGCTAGTAAGAAACAGGACTATTGTTGGTTGTATTGATGTATTGACTGATAGCGAGATACACCCATTAGTTCAAGCACAACAGGTCAAAAGCTGGGACTGATCAACTGAAAAATATTCATCTTGAGCGTAACGGGCCAACAAACAGATGGTCACTACTTGTCAGTTATTACACTCTCTATAGCAGAGCAATATAACAAATCATGCTGCCTCAAAACCAATACACACAGTGGAGTATAACAGGTGCAACAAAGCTAATACGAGGATCAGAGGGTCAATCAAATTCAGTCTGTACAGAAAAGGTCTAATTAGAGACAAAAGTAAAGTGTGTGTGTGTGTGTTCACTAGTACTGATAAACAACTGTATGGGTCATTTATTGCTACAAGGAAATTAAAACTCATCATGACTGCAACACATAGTGAAGAATAAAGTTTTACCTGCCACCCCAACCTCTCCAGTCCCAGCCAGGTTGAGGTCTGGGAAACGTGCCTGGTCCAGTGAATAGACCTGAGAGTAATGGGCGTTTGGCTGCATCCCACAACCCTCCTGGAGGCGGTCGAAACAAAATGAGGAAGAGATTGGCATCATAACTACAGAAAGTTCAACTGTACTATAATAATGTTGCTACATATTTCAATTTATATTTAATCAATGTCCATTCAAATCTTATTTTTAGATAGAAAGGCACAGAGTTCTGCTACTCACAAATACTGCCCCCTTCAACATGTCAGGTACAACCATGGGAATGAAGCCCTGTAGGAGTCAAAAGTAAAGTTTTATATAAGAACTGAATAATAATATTCATTCATTTTGCAGACATTATATTTAATATTTCCAGGCGCATGCTTACTCGTCGCTGCAGTGTGTCAAGGGCAAAGTTTTGTAGTGCAGTCTGAAGTCTTGCCCCCGCTCCCCTGAGATAGTAGGACCTGTGGCCTGAGATGTGAGCTAGACGTCTACAGGAGAGCATTTTATATTATTTTATAGTGTAACTGCTCAACCCTCATGGGTTTACAAGACACCAAAAATCCAGTTGCAATGATCAAATATTTCATTTCAGATTATAGATTATAATACGGCTCAGGCTTAAAATATTCTGCCTTCTCTCCCAAGTTTTTCTTAATTATCAAGCCAAAATAAATCATCATAATTATTAGACAAAATATTAACTATTAGGTATTTACATATTAATACAAAATGCCATTGCTCATCCTCTTTTCCTCAGTTTTCTTTCAATCATATGAGCAAAAGCTTTAAGAGAATAGTTCACAAACAGTAGAACAAGTGGAATATCAAGTGTAACAAACATCATCCTCACCTCTGCCTGATGAGACCCAACTCCTCCCCCAGCTCTAAATGGCCTCTGGGTTTGAAGTCAAACTCTACAGCAGAGAGAAAGAGAGCAGATTATGAGATTTGCATATTGAAACACACAAGGGTAAAGCACTTTAGGTTATTACTGATGTGGCACTTTAGATCAACAATGGCATAGATCACATCAGTCACCTGGTTTCTGTCCAACCAGCTCCACCACCCTCGCCTGGCTCTCATCTCCAATGGGCTGAAAAAGGGAAAAAAACACAACTACACTTAATTTAAAAGCACACATGTCACAGAAAATCGCTCTCCAGATGCTCTGGACAAAATAAGTGTGTGTGTTTGTGTTGTATCCTCACCACATCAGGGTGTGTGGTGTTTGGCAGTCTGAGTGCTCGACTGTAGTGTTCCTTTTCCAGCTCAGTGTCTTTGGGGAGCAGTTCATTCAGTCTTTTGCGGATCTCTCGACCCCTCTTCAGAGCCTGGGTGTACTCTGGAAACTGCGTGATGAACAACAAGGAGTCAGAACTGGTCCCAAATCTAATTTACCACAGACAGATTTAATTACAAAGTATTAAAGAGTTTGAATTGCGAAGTGCCAAAGTTGAACTTACATTGGCGAGGGCTTTCTTGTCGTGATTGATCTGTGAGGAAAACATGATTTATGTCATAATCATGGATGAGACTTTAAACTTTCAAGTCAAATTAGAGAAAAGGATTAAGCAAACCTTAAGTAAGAATCAACACAAACAACTTTAATCAGAAAACTGGTGTTGTAATAACTGTGACTGACCACTAGTGCTTTGACTGTTTCACTGATGTGTTTCTTCTCCTCCTCCAGTCCAGAGATTTCAGTCCTCACTGCCTGGAGCTTCTGCCACACACATACCTACAATGTGGACACACACACACACACGATCAATGTGATCAAATGAAAGGCCGTAAGAAAAGCTGGTATGAATTGGAAAAAGTCTTTCAATTTAAACTCCTAAATGTTCCCTAACTTTTCACTTAAATTGCATTTTTCCATTTTGTGACAATGCTTTAATGCTTATAATAGCTTTATGTTTGTTTGCTTATCTTGCTTTAGCATCTGTGTCTATTTTATCTTCCTATACATGTGTTTCAATATAATGATATACAGTATTTACATTTACTTAGTATATTGAGAGCTACTGACAAACTGTGTCAATGTGAAGGATCAATAAAGTTGTTGGAACAATATAAATGGACATTGTGATAATAGTTAGTATTCAAACCTACTACATGTAGAGTACTACATTACAAATGTCTTGTACATAATATCCATTTCAGTCTGCATGACCATATGTTTTCTGTTTGGAAACGTTTTGATCTAGACTTCAATGAGAATCTCTGACTTGACTTTCTTTCAGGTAAATGAACCTCAAATCACCTACAAATATTTATTTATAGAGTGTTTTAATATGTGTTAATAAATATCTGGAGTGGGTCTTCAATTTCAATGTTGTTCATCATTTGGAGGAGACATTAGCTTAGACCCTCAGCAAAGTGTACTTCAGTGTGCAAATCATTTTGGTAAAAAATGATTTGGTACAATAAAGAATTGTCCAAAGATTGTATAAAGAAATATATAAGTTGAAGAGTGAATACCATGTTTTTGTTTATAGCTGTCAATTACAGAGGCGCCTTTCACACAGAAGTTTCATGTCTCATACTTAGTAGCAAAACGAACACTTACCATTTCCCTGACATCTTCCTCCCGCAGGTCACCCTTTCTGTTCACTACATTGAGTATGACTTTGTCGGTCTCCTCACACACTTCTCTCATGTCCAGATCGGGCTTGTCACTGTAACCCTGACAGACATGCTCGTACAGCCTGCTCGGGGCTCTGTGTGAGAAGCGGTGCGGGATAAAGACGCTCGTCCTCTGCCTTGAACATTGTCTGGCTATCGGCTTTACCACAGCCAGTGCAGTGCCTCCAAGTCTAACGACCATGCCTATGCAGGTCGCCATGTTTCTCTTGTGCTCAATGTTGCATTCACGGGGTATAGGAATAATCGGTACTTTGTGTAGACTCTCGGTCAGCTTTAGCTCCAATCACTTTAAAAAGGAATGTTTGGATATGATCACTTCAATAAAAGCCCAATATATTGTTATAAAAGTGACCATTTATATGTATTAGCGTGTGAAACCAGAGAGCACTCGTCCAACACTATCCAGCTGCAGCCCCGGAGTGACACAAACCTCTGGCTTGACGGAAGTGACGTAGAATACCAGAAATTATGTTTATTTTGAGGATGCGCGGGAATTTGAGGACACTCGCTGTCACTCTGTGTCAAATAATGGAGACATTTAAAAACACTGTAAGCTTTGTTAATCGATCATGTTTGTGTAACTACGAACTAACTAGCATTCTGCTGGTTTGAAGATAAAGACAAGAGAGGACTGACGATATGAAACAGATGTTTTCATATTAATGGTTGAGTATACTGTTGCTTTATTGACTCTGTTTTCTTCCTTTTGACAGTGAGTTGGACCTCTTTCAAACCGGAGCACACCAAAAGGCTTCAGAATAAAGAAACATTGTTGTTGTTGTTGTTGTTGTTGTTCTTACTGTACCTTTAAGGATAGATATTTAATAAAGATGAGCAGCTTTGGTCTCAAATAGTTTTATGTTTCAGTTCCTACACAGTATGAGTGAGCGAGGGTTTTATAGTATAGAGACCAAACAACTGGTTCTTTCGTTATTTATATTATCTTTTTATATATATATATATAGAAATGATATAACTTACATGGGCACGGAGGTCCTTTTGTGACCTTTTCCCCAATAAATCTGAATTTTCATGAGAAATTAGACTTGAGTTTTCTGATTGGTCAATGTCTGGTGGGTACATTTATTTAACACACAATTCCTTCATTTGAGTCTCTGATGTGCAGTTCCCTTGATGATCCTCTGGATGTTTAAAGTGGGCTGAAGCTGATCTGATGAACTCACTGTGTTGTTATTGGTTACATTTAATTAATAAAAGGCTCTAATATCGATCTGTGTACATAAACTACAGGAACACAGGAAATATTAACATGTTTGAAGTAATGGTAGCCTACAGACCACGTTGAAATTACTCGTGTCAGTTTTACTGTACGATTCATCATAATGGGAAGTAGTGTTTTTAATTTTAATTAGAAAAAAGTAACTTCCGGTATGCTACGTAAACGCTACGTCACTTCCGTCATGCCAGAGGCTTTTTATTTTTATTTTTCATTTAATCATTTATTTTATACTGACTTTGGATACAAAGTGAGCCTTTCTTACTTTGCACACATGCTGAGGCATTATTGCATTATGTGGGAACGTTTTTATTTATTTATTTATTTATTTTTCAAATGCTTTATTGGAAATTATATCAAAAACATGTTACAGTGACAAACTCTTGGTATATAACAATTATTACATTGAAAATCGTGTCCATACCTCCTAATGAGTTCTGTTTAATCGTTAAACCAGAGGCTTGTGTCACTTCAGGGGCTTCTGCTCAACCCACCACCTGCTGTAAAACGCTCGTATGTTCCTTGAACGCAGCATGAATGCGGAAATTAATATTTCGGGGTTGGAAACAAAATAAAACGAATAAACTGATTTTAAATGTTATTCTTAAAGCATTGCCGCTGTTTTACGCAGCTATGGTGACATAAAGGCAAAGATGGAGCAGAAAATATTAAAAAATGTCCATTGACAGAAAAAGACTCAACCCCAAACAATCGTCACGAGCCAAAGGTCAGCCAATCAGATGAGCGGAAGTTTAACGTTGCGGTAATCCGGTTCAGACGTGACAAGTGCGGCCGACTGAACCTGAACTCAGTCTTTATTTTCCTCCCCTGTAGCCCCTCAAAACTACACTCCTCCCTGTCTTACCACCGAGCTGGGTGCGTGTGCATAATGCCATGGTGGACTGATATTTGTTACGAAGAGGAGCTTTCGTGCCGCGGGAGAATTGGTCCCTTTGTGAGCTAGTTTGGTCCGTCAGTTAGTAGAGATGTTGTGCTCGGGGCTGGATGAGCAGCGAGTAGCCTGACGCGTCTTCTCCACAGGCCGGGACGAGCCTTTCAGCTGAGCCCGGAGGACCAGCTCACCCAGATGGGAGCGAGGAAAGCCTGTCGAAGCCTCTGGTCATAACCGGGTACTTGGATACGGTTAGCCTGCCCCAAGACTGCTTCACCAATTCCTGCTGAAAGTGAGACCCCACCAGCCTTCACGGTGGAAACTAGAAGAAGAGCAAAGGTAATGTACGCTAAACATTCAGCATCTTTCCGGTAAACCGATGCCACAACAGCTGTGTGTTTGTGATTTATTATAGCCACTGTTTTATGAAGACATTCGTTCTGCTGCTAAAGTGAAAATGCAAGCATTCTGCAACAAGCTGATGGAGCAAATCAGTAACAAACAATATTGATTGAGCTTAAAACTAAGCTGCATCATGAACTTTGTCTGGAAACCACATTTTTACAGAGATAGGTGTTATCTGGGTCATATCTGTTTTGGGCGTCTATCTATAATACATTGGCCTGTCCTGCATGCATAAAGGATAAAGTCTAAAACCCATACGCATGTGCGTAATGGACCTTTTTCACAGCAGCCATTTTTGGATTAAATAGTGTAAACACAGGTGTTACCAATGATACTAATTAAGGCTCTGTTCCATTCATGTCAAACAGAGTCAGGGTACTGCTACTGTGCACCCTGACTCTCCTGGAAAGGCTCTGCCACACTAAATGGAGCAGAGCCTTAATTGGTGTCATTGGTAACACCTGTGTTTACCCTACTGTTTCATGTGCAAATGACTTCTGTGAAAAATGATCGGCCTAACTGTGAGTGCTTGTGTGTGTGCTGTACCGCAGATGAATGCTGTGCGGGGGGGCACAGTCACCTGGCGTCCCCAGCCGTGGCAGGATGGGGACGGGGGAGGAGGAGAACCTCTGTCAGACAGCGACTCAGAGGAGGAGGACTTCCCCGATGACAGCACCACACCGTTGGGAGACTACATCACGCATGGTGAGACAGGGACATGATGAGAGGGTAGAGAGGGTGTTGTTGGGAAGTTGGAAACCAGCCTGTGTAACATTAGTGTGACTCATTTAGGTTCACCTGTCTTCCCAATCTTTATCTTTCTCTGCTTTTCTTACTCTATTCCTGTCCCTTCTGCTCTGTCGAACTCTTACTCATCCATCCCTCCTTCGCCCTCTTCTCTCTCCGTCCTCTCTCTGCTGTGTTTTAGGATTGAAGCAGCTCCTGGACGCTCAGCAGCTGTGTGACGTTACGCTACTTGTTGAGGGAAAGAAGTTCATGTGTCACAGGTTTGACTGCCACATCCAACAAAGAAGCTGAGAGAGAAACAGTCCATTCATTAATATTGTTGTTCAGACATCAAGAGAATTTCAGCCGTTCATTAAATTATGTTTTTATTTGTCACAATTTTACTCCTCTCTTGTAATCTGTTTCCAATTATATGGAAGGGAGAACATTTTAAACTATAATCACAAAATATTGAAGCTTTTTACTTGATAAATAACATAAAGCATTTATACATTTTCTTCATCACTTCACCGCCTATTATAAAAAATGCATTGGTTTGAACAGTTCTTTTCTATCTTCTGTCCCCTCAGAGTCCTCCTGGCAGCCGTGAGCCCGTATTTTCGGGCTATGTTCACCAGTCCCCTGGTTGAGTCCCGCCTCACTGAGATCCGACTGGAGGAAGTGACGCCATCTGTCATGGAGACTGTCATCCAGTTTGTGTACACCGGTGAGGCGGGGCTCTCTCTGGACACAGCTGAGGATCTGTTTGTGGCGGCCAACCGGCTCCAGGTCATGCCTCTTCAAGACTTGTGCTCCAGGTAAATCCGCCTCATTCATTAGACTTTACAATTCAGGTGGCTATATTTTTACTTTGACATTAGATTTAATTTAACAAACCAGTTTCTGTATTGTGGTTTTTTAAACCCTCTTGTCTCATTTCCTCTTTTCTTCTGCCCCCTCTGTTTCTATTTCCCCCTGTCTTTCTCTCTACTTGTAATTTTCTCTACTCCTTTCACTTCAGGTTTCTATTTGAGCACCTCTCAGTGGATAACTGCCTGGGGATGTACTCTTTGGCTCGCTCTCACCATGACCAGCTGCTACTGCGAGCGTCCCTGCGGCTCGTAGCCCAGCACTTCCCCCGGGTGGCCCGGCAGAAAGACTTCCTCCTGCTGGACCACGGCACCTTAGGCAGCCTCCTGAGCTCTGACCGTCTGGGGGTGGACTCCGAAGCGGAGGTTTACGACGCGGCGCGCCGATGGGCAGAGCACCAGCCCTTGGATCGCTACGCCCACATGCCGGCACTGCTTCACCACCTGCGGCCGGGGCTGCTGTCCCAGGAGGAGAGCCGAAGACTGAGCCAGGAGTTGGGGCCCGCTGCAGCTGGTGAGGGCCTTGGGGGGCCTCTGAGACCACGGGAGGGCATGTTTGAGAAAAAGATTGTCTGTGTGGACCTGACGCCTCGGGAAGATGAGAATTTAGCTGCGAGAGACTACACAGTGGACTGCTTTGATCCTCGGACAGGGAAGTGGGAGAAGTTAGCTGCACTGGGTTCACTGGTCAGTCCCGGCTGTACGGCTGTAGGCGACCGGCTGTTTGTAGCGGGGGGAATCCTGCGGACGGGCTCTGTGTCTGCAGCCGTGCACGAATACGATGCAGTGTTGGACCTCTGGATAGAGCGGCCTTCGATGGTCCAACCCCGGGCTATGCTAGGCCTGCTGGGCTGTGGAGAGTCACTCTATGCCTTGGGTGGTAGTAACCGCTCAGCTCTGCTGGACTCCAGTGAGACCCTGGAGCTGAGTACGCTTCAGTGGGCTCCAGGGCCTCGGCTACCACTCCCTCTGCGCGCCTTCGCCTGCGCAGCGTTACGTGGACGGCTTTACCTTCTGGGTGGAACCACACTTGAACAGAATCGGGCTGTGGTCCACTCGGGAGTGCTTATTTATCACACCCTAACAGACTGCTGGACACGTGTGGCTCTGGACTCTGGCGCCACCTGCCTTGCTGGAGGAGTAGCAGTGCGTGGAGGAGTCTGTGCCATTGGGGGATACATGAGGGATACTACCAAGTTCCTGGATGGAAACTACACCAATCTGGAGACTTTAGACGCCACTGGGCGTGTGCTGTTTTTCAGAGAGGGCAGGGGGTCTGGAGTAGAGAGGGAGGTGACTGGAGGTGGGGTGATGGTCACCGCGGAGCAGCGGGGGGCAGCAGGTGGCGGAAGCGACCGAGCCCCGAGCCCTGTGGTATTTCCCGGGCTGCCGCGGCGGATTGCAGCTGGTGGTGTGGCCAGGTGGAAACGCAGGATTTATGTGCTGGGTGGGGAAAACGGCTCACGGTTCTATGACAGTGTTTACTGTTGGAAGCCCGGCTGGCGCAGCTGGGTCCAGAGACGTGAGAAACTCCCAGGAGACACTGGAGGGGTGAGCCAGTTTGGGTGTACCACTTTAAAGTTCCCTAAGAAACACATCCTGTCCAGACTGAGACTAGCCAAAGAAAACTGCAAGAAGGCTGCTGACTAGCTTGATAGGGACCAGTATGACTGAAGTTGAGGCAGCCGTTCATGTGACACAGAGATGAGCTCCAGGCCGAGCATGAATTTGCTCCCCCTTGACCTCATGTAATGTTGGTGTGGAGATGAAATCACAAGGAAGATTTTTACAGTCCTGAGCGCAGCCACAGAGTAGGTCTATAATGGACTGGACTTGTTAGGATAGCCAAATGTACAGGCAGAGAGCAAGTGGAGCCAGAAACTGTTAGGGCTGTACCGAATACTCACAGCTTCATTCATTTGAATTTTAAACCTTCATTCATTCACCAACATTCAAATGCTGCACAGCCATTTCTCTCTGTTTTGGTATTTCTTTACTATTGCAGATAAAGATTAGGAGTCGAGATTTTTCACCATTTTCTGAAATTTTATGGACCAAACAACTAATTGATTAATTGAGATAACAATCGACAGATTAATCAATAAAATAATCGTTAGTTGCAACATTATACCAGTATATACCATATTATACCAGTAAGTAGAAATACATTTCCCGACTTGTGTGATCCAGACGTTTCCAATGTGATATAAAGCCCTAAAATCCAAATTTATTGAAAAAAGTAATATATATATATATATATATATATATATATATATCTAATGAAATATGCTGCTTCAATCCTTGTTTGTTGGCTAGCAGCATTTTAATAGCATCATAATAATATAATAACAAAAAATGTACTTCTACTGGCTCGAACAGTATTAAAGTAAATGATTTAAGTTGTTCATGTTATGTATGTTTACGTCATAAAATATGACGACTCGCATTCAAAGCTTCATTTGAAAACCTCAATAGAAGCTGAATGTAAAAAAACGAAAACAAAGGATATTCGGTACAGCCCTTGAAACTGGTTAAAAGTCAGGCAACATGCACCTGAATGTAACCTAATCCACTATTTGTCAGTAAAGTCCTTTGAGAGAGAAAAGGGCCTTTTTAATTCTTTTCTTAAAGTGTAATGTTATTTTCAGCTTTTTGCTGGTGGAAGATTTTTAAGGCTATTTGGAAAACATTTCAATGCTGTGAATATTTTAGCAGCGTTTAGTTTAGACACAAGGATACCAGCACATTTCTGACCTCGCTATGTTCCACTCTATCTGCCTAAACATAGGTTCTTGTCTATTGTGGGCCTGTAAAGCCCTTTGAAACTGCAATGAAGGGCTATACAAATACACTTGACTAGAGTGGAAACATATCATAGGAAACACATTTTTCTAACTACTGTAGACAGTTTTTACCTGCACCGTCAGTTATTCTGTGAATACGTCAACGTCCCGTTCTGTCTTTGACTTGAAGCCCTGAACTGATTTCTCATATCAGCGGAGGACATCGGTCAAATCCTCACAACTGCTGAAAACCCCCAGTGTGATTTGTACGACGCAGCAATGGCTCATTTGTTCTGGTACATCTTTCACAACATGACAATAGTCAGACCTACCTGTGCCAAGCCACTGCCCAAGCCCCGTTCTATGGTCTAACTACACAGGCAGACCCCTCTGACTGAGCCCAATATGGCAGCCCACATACGTACCAGATAGTGTCTTTTTTTTACTCCATAGAAACTGTACGAATGTGTTCTTAAATGCTCTCGCAAAGGTTCTGTGGAACATGGCAGTGGAAGAAATGTGCAGATAATACGCAATAAATTTAAAGATGATAGCCACGAGCCCATCTTCCATATTAATATGACAATGAGTGCTTTAAGTGTAAGAATTTGGTAGGTATTCAAGACTGTGCTGCAAAGAAAAACTTGAACTGTCTGTTTCCGCCAGCATTCTGAAGTATTTGGACAGAAGGTAAATGTATGAGGGCATTGTGCAGCCCTCTGTGAAGGTGAACTACGATATCCTTGTGTCTAGACCACCGCTCTGTCCAGCACCTTTCCTAAACCTAAGCCAGGGGAATAGTAGTCTTTACTTGATTCAGCAGCCGTGTCAGAATGATATTTTTTTCTTTCAACCACTCCAGCCACAGGACTTGTGAATGTGTTTGGCATGGAGGTTATGAATTATCTGGACACATTAGCACTGCACCTAATTTATTGAACTGTATTTTAAAGGTTTTGTTGTTGTTTTGAAATGGTAGCTTTGGCTCTGACTGCAGCGTCCGGGCTTCCTGCACCGAAAGGATGGCACTATAAGCTTAGACAGACCTGTCGAAACAGGACCAGATGTGTTTAGATCTGAACGTGACTGAGGGTTTTTAGATAACTTAATTCTTAAATTGTGATTTTATGAGAGGTCAGAAAGTTTGCCCAGAATTGTAAGCATGTTGTTTTGCTGTAAGCCACTATGTTCTCTTTGACCTTCATTTTTTGTTTTCCTCAAATTGATCAAATCCAGATCCTTCTGTGGAAGATGTGTTCATATGAAAAACACTACCAGCTGTGACTGAAAATGGCAGAATTCTACCAGTGTTGTTATCACACAGCCAACTACCAAACAGAATCAGAAAATATGAACTAGAGAATTATATATGACATATGACTCCTACCATCTACAGCTAATATTGCTGGATATTTGGGATTTTTGCCATTGTGGAGGCAATCAATCAATCAATGAAGCTGAAGGCTTAAGATATAGAGAAAACCACTCTATGACACTAAAACAAATGGGTTTCAAATGATAAAACTTGGCAGGGAGAACCTACCCGGGCCAGGAATTAGTTTTCAGACATACTCTTTATATTGGTAACATTGACAGCTGACAGTTTAGCACATGATCATCCCTAAACAGGATTCCAAGGATGTGCCTCTGTATTGGCTCTTATCACTGAGATAACACCTAGTGTGTCTCTGTATAGGATCCTAGACCTGCTAAGTGGATTTATTGAAGTTTACAGAGTAAATCAATGGCAGTCTGACACAACGTAAAACTGTTAAAAAGAATAATTTTATAACTAACTAATAACTAAAGAAAAATCCCCACCCCCACCCTCACCCCTCCCTGCCCCAAAGAAAAAGGATCAAAAGTACATTTAATAGTTTTAAGTCAAACTGTCCTTCCATCTCAAACTTTCCAGTTGTGTCACCATGACTCAGTCTCCCTCGGGAGCAGAATAGCGGAACTTCCCCAATTTCACAACTACAGTAACAGCACATGTTTCACACCACTTTTCTAGCAAGCGTAAGCACTTTCCCAGTGACACAGCTACCAATTAACAGCTTGATTATAACACTGTGCCTCTAATCTCCATAGTAAGTCATTTTGAACGCATTGCATAGCCCCTTTATGTAATTAACACATAAATCAGTATTTATTTTCGTCACCCAACTCCTGATAATAAGATTCCTGGTAGGTCAAAGAAGATGATTGGAGCAGGTCAGGGCATCTTTATCTCTAAGTCCTGGGGAGTAATAGTAATAGTTTGAAGGGTAGCTGAGATGTTTGGGCTCATCTGATATTGTAAGAATTCAAACATGTTTAGTATATCATGAACTGTGTGGCTGACCAAAATGCATTAAAAGGATGAGGAGCAAAAATCCTTAATCAGTAAGGTTCCTTATTTCAGTTGTATATTCACAAGACAAACACTTTTTTTTTTTTTGTCATTTTAGTCAGTTAAGAGATGTGAGCTTCAGTTTGTGTTTCTAGAAATAAAATACATGTCACACCATCTGTTTTATTTCAAATAACACGCTCTGAATTTTTACCTGGAAGTGTCAAATGAATTGATTTCCTTTTCCTTCGTGTGCTTACAGCTTATATGACATGTGAAAAGTGATGTGTGCGCATGCATGTTTTCTATGCCGCGGCGTAAATCTGTTCAACACAAGCTCTCTGCACATATGCACACCCACACACTGTGTGTCCATTCAGAGAAGTGAAGCTGCCCTCATTTGTACAATCTAATGACATTTGTGAACTGAAAGGCAAATGGATGTTTTGATGAAAGCAGTGCTCTCAAATGATTAAAGGACTATTTGCTTACGTGTGTTTCTTGCTGGTGACTTTTTTTTTTTTTTTTACAACTGCAAGAAGTTTTCATGAAGTGATTGAATAATTAATATTGGTATGATGGGGACTCATTACAGTGGCTGTTTGGGCATAAAAGAAGCTGACAATAGATACATACATGAGTGAAACCCTGTTTTTCAAGGTTTTGGTGTTAATAATTACTCTAATGAATAAACTGCTGAATCTGCTCATTCTCAAAGCTGACCAAAGTTCCAGCTTTACACTGACGACCCCAAATCTACTGCCTGTGCATCAGTTTTCAGCAGTTAGTGTGTGCTTCCTTGAACTACTACTTGGTCATATTGATCTCTAAGTTTAGGTGTTTTTTTTAGGCACCATGATTTATTAGAAGCAACGATATATTAAAGGCAGGCCTAGTATAGAAAGCTACTTAAAGTGTATTCCGATAGAAGAGGAGCAATGGAGAATCTGTCTTCAGACAAAGGGACGATCAACAACCCAGCAGACATCGCTATCATTGTTGGATATTTCATCATGGTCATTAGTGTCGGCATTTGGGTGAGTAAACCTGCCTGAGTTTGATTATCAGGAGATTATAATAGCTGAATAAAGAATGGAGAGGAGGAGGAGGAGGAGACACAGCTAACATTGCATTTAGTTTGTGAGAATGACACAATTGTCCTATCTGTGTTTTAGTCCATGTTTCGGACCAATCGTGGGACAGTTGGAGGGTATTTCCTGGCAGGGCGCACAATGACATGGTGGCCGGTGAGTTCAATGCAGAACTGGACCAATAAATATATAACATGATATTTGCTGACTAGTATCAGCCTGGTATGTTCTAGGTCATTATTAAACATTGTTACCATTTCACAGTTTGTCCACCAGATGGTGCACGTTTATTTTTACACTGTAAAATGTCATGCTCAGTGCATATCTTTAAAGATCCCCTCCAGACATGTATTACTGTAAGATAACACAAAAATTATATGTGTCGGATATGTTTTTTCCTCAAATAAAGTATAATTTCCACATTGAAATCCTTAAAAAGGCATCTATTCCTTCTACCTCATTAAAAATGAATATTAAAAACCTATGAATATGCATATTTTGTTCATTTCTAAAGTTTTCCTGATGGACACATTTCTACATGACACTTACAAGTTGGACACTGGACCAGGATGGACTATTGGCGATGTCACAGATTGTGCTTGTAGGCCCCACTCCTTAAAAGGGGCAGTGAGCACAGAGAAACTTTCCACTTTCAGCAGATGAATGTGAAAACATCCTTCTAGTGTCAAACTCTGCACTTACATCATTCTGCTCCTGCTCAAACATTTAACCACTCGGTTTTGCTTCAGTCAGCTTGAACTTTCAAGAATCAATGTTATGGAAGGGAGGATGTCGAGGCAAAGTTTTCCCCAAATCTGGTCATATCTTTTTGGATCTTAATGAGCAAGAAAATCTTGTGGATTCTTAAAGAAAAAGGGGCAATATATGGCTGTATTTTGACTTTTCAAAATTTTATGAGCTCAATGTGCCTCACTATGCACACATTTCTCTGTTTTGTGCATTTCATAGTCGTCATACTGCAAAGTATTTATTTATTTGGATTTGATGTGATGTTCTTTTCTTTAATTCAGGTTGGTGCCTCTCTGTTTGCCAGCAACATTGGGAGCGGTCACTTTGTGGGCTTGGCAGGCACTGGGGCAGCTAGCGGCATCGCTGTGGGAGGGTTTGAGTGGAATGTAAGTCACATTATATACTCACAGCTGGTACAACTCTGCAGTTTAGGTCCCATTCATCACTAATTTAAAACACTGAATAGATTCATGAATTACTCTTAAAAAAACCCACCTGATCTGCTGTAATGTACAGTGTGACATGGTACTGGTCTCTCATAGTGGACTGAATGGTAACATCTTATACATTATTGTGTGTTGTTTATGTGTCAGGCTCTGTTCATCGTGCTGCTGCTAGGTTGGTTGTTTGTTCCAGTCTACCTCACAGCGGGGGTAAGCAGTTGTTAACAAGTGCATCATTTGCTGATGTGATGACTTCTGTAATTTCCCATACTGATACACACTGTGTGAAATGTGCGGTGCTAGGTGATCACCATGCCCCAGTACCTGAAGAAGAGGTTTGGAGGGACCAGGATCAGCCTCTACCTCTCCGTTATCTCTCTGTTTCTCTACATTTTCACCAAGATCTCAGTGAGTTGTTGAGCTTGTTGAGCTGAAAACACACAGAAAAAACACACGGTCTGTGTTTCTTTATTCACTCTCCCTCTGTCTCTCTCAGGTGGATATGTTTTCAGGAGCTGTGTTTATCCAGCAGGCTTTAGGGTGGAACATCTATGTGGCTGTCATCACCCTTCTGTTAATAACAGCCTTGTACACTGTTACAGGTATGCACACGAATGTCTGTGTATGCAGATTTTTTTAAAGGGGCACTCCAATTTTACACATGAGGATCAGTTTATGGTATTCATCAAGATGATAATACTAATAACAGATTTTTTTCAGCCTGTAGAAAGAGTACAACATATTCTGTGACACTGGAGGAAGCACTCTGCCATTTAAGGAAATAACCCTGATGATGTCACAGTGATGTCATGCACGTAGTTTATAACAGAAAACTTGCGTTACAACCTGGGGTGAGGAGTTTGAAAGATGTGGGTATTTACAGGGCATTGTGGGAAATCTAGTAATGTAGTGTTTTTGGAGCTTGGCCCTTATTAATAACTAAATTAATCCTATCTTTACAGTCCCCCAATTTTTTCAGTGTGTAGGATTTAGTGGCATCTAGTAGTGAAGTTGCAGATTGCAACCAACTGAAGCTTGAAGAAGAAACTATGGTGGCTACAAAAAACGCAAAAAAGTGGTTTGTCTGTTCTGGCCTACTATAGAAACATGGTGGTTCAATATGGCGGCCTCTGTAGAAGAGGACCCACTCACTCTGTAGATAAAAACATCTTATTCTAAGGTAACAAAAAAACAACAATTATTATTTTCGGGGTTTATACACTAATGAAAAAATACCTATAAATATTATATTCCATTTCTGAAAATTTAAATTTCCAGATTTCTGTCAGATTATGTATTTTAAGATTTGTGAGTGTGTGTGTTACCAGGTGGCTTGGCTGCTCTGATGTACACCGACACATTTCAGACATTTGTCATTATTGCCGGGGCCTTCGTCCTCACCGGCTTCTGTAAGTATGATTTGTACAGCAATATATTTAATCTTCCAGTAAATATCTTAATTCACACTCCACACATTTCCTGGTATTGGCCTCTGCCAGTCCTTGCAGGCCTGACAGTCCCTCAACAGCTTCACAACAGGAAAGAGATTAAGTAGGGTCAGTAATCATTCATTTCACTGCAGCGGGGTACAGTATGCTGACACTGCAGAGCCACAAAACTCTCCCCCTGCCGACACAACAACAACCGCCCCCTTACAACCTTATTGATTTTTTCATAAAAGGTGAATATATATCACTCTAATCCTGGTGTAGATTACCGACAAAGTCAAAGAAGGAGGTAGACAAGATGAAAGCGGGTGAGAAACCAGTGGCGCAGGAAAAAAAACAGCCATCTCCTTCTGTGAACTGGTGATGCATTGAGAACAAAGTGCTGACTCAGCAGCTGACTCATATCTTCAGTTAGGACAGTATCAGACAACAAGAGGGCCCTGGACAACTGAGCTGAGTAGGAAAGAAAAAAATACAGTGTGCTTATTATTTTACACAAAACATTCTGTCTTGTTTTACATGCTAATCTTGTAGGAACAGGAGCATCCATACTATAAAATGCTGCTACCTGAATTTAAGGCAGTTGAATTGACTTTGGAGGTGAATTGACTTTCCCTTTAAATGACAATGACTTTGATCCTTTTCACTTCCCACTTGCTAGCTTTCGTTCAAGTTGGAGGCTACAGCGCTCTGCTGGCCAAATACAGCTCTGCTACACCAAGTAACTTCTCCTCCATGGATCCCCAGCGCTATAACATCTCCCCACACTGCTACACCCCCCGACAGGATGCCTTCAACCTGCTGAGGGACCCAACCACAGGGGACCTGCCCTGGCCGGGAGTGATATTTGGGATTGCTATAGTGGGAGGCTGGTACTGGTGTACAGACCAGGTGAAATGCTTTGGTTTGGTTTCTTCATCCTAACGGGAAATCTCAAGGATCTCAAGGACAGGGAAAGTGCACAAAGTGACACAGAGAGCTGGTATTAGTGATAAAAGTACACACGTGTAAACTCCCCACAAACCTCAACTAGATTCCCAGCCCTGTGCTTTCTATAAAAATAATGACATAGTATACATATATATATATGTATATATCTCACATGATGAGTGCAAACACAAAATAATCCATCCTGCCTTGTATCTCTTTAGGTGATAGTCCAGCGGTGCCTTGCAGCTCGTAGTCTGACCCATGTGAAGGCCGGCTGCATCATGTGTGGCTACCTCAAACTGCTGCCAATGTTCCTCATGGTGTTCCCTGGCATGATCAGCAGGATCCTCTACCCAGGTATCTGGCTTATACTTAGCCTTTCAAATCCACTTTAAAAGGGGTAGACAAAAACTAAAGAAACATCTTAGAGAACATTATAATAGCGGTGTATTAACTCATCTGTCATGCATAAAGCCCAATGTTGTACTTTTATTAAACAAATGCCTGAATTCTTATAGGAAGGAAATCTGTATCTTTACATCGTGTGTGTGTGTGTGTGTGTGTGTGTGTGTGTGTGTGTGTGTGTGTGTGTGTGTGTGTGTGTGTCCACCTGCAGATGAGGTTGGCTGCGTTGTCCCTGAGCTGTGTAAGATGGTGTGTGGGACTGAGGTGGGCTGCTCCAACATTGCTTATCCTAAACTGGTGGTGTCCATCATGCCGAATGGTAAGAACACATAACAGTGGCTACCTTTAAAAACAAAGAGGAAGAAGAGAAGTTTTATTTTTTAATTTCTCATCCCTTCAAAAACCTTTCTCTGATTTTCTCTCT